CATATGAAGAATACAGAAGATTGTTGTCACATGTAGTAAACAACCAGTACTTTGAGGAGTACTGGTACTGTTGCTGATGGCCGAGGAGATGTGGGTCCAGACCCAGAAGCTGTCCCATACGGACCCGGACAGATAGCCAAAACAGAAAGTTGTGATTTAAAACCTGACGGGACGCTTCTATTTTAAACGGCACAGCGTTTGTAGTCTTTTCAGTAGTGGTTTAGCACAAGAACCGCTGCTTCCCATGCCAATGAATGTCAAACGCCTTTAACCGCGAAGCGTAGTTCGGCGTATGCAGCCCTTTGTCTGCGCTAATGTGCCGTTAGTGTTAATAGCAGCAGCGAAGCGACCAAAAAGCCGTAATGTTCCTAACAGAGTGGCTGATCTGTCCTGAAATCATACAGCTGAAAAGTTTTCAAATACAGTATGTATTATATAACATGTTGGATAAATAGACATAGTTCATTGGTGATTTCATGTTTGTGGAAGTTTCCGCTTTTTAACAACTGTACAAAGTAATGTTATCTGTTATATAAATCAACTCAGGTGAAACTAAAATTGTACGTTTTCAGCATCTGTCATGCCACTCATGATTTCAGACTCGTGCAGGGAATCTTACGGCAAATCTACATTATTCCATTATAAACCTAAAATACGTTACGTCAAAAGTGTATTTACACTGTTAAATACAAAAGCAGACTATTTACAAGGTAAGAACTGTTACATATGTATGCAGACATCTCGAATTGAATTGTACTGAATGAACTTGATTTGACAGTCAGGTACTGATTACATGCAATGTTTATACAACTGATAGGCTACTTAAATATATATCACACTAAATAGTTAGACATGATGATCTTCCGGACCTTTGCTTCAAGAAATTTTCTCTAACTGCACCTCTTTAAATTTTAGTTGAATACTCCTTTAATAGAGCTATTGAACTAATTAGATTTTTAAAATCCCAATATCGCGCTATATATCGCAGAAAGAATAAATATTGCAATGTGATTTTTTTCCTAATATCGTGCAGCCCAGTAAGTAGGTTCAGTTGTAAATAGGTGTTCAAAGTTTGCCAAGTACTGTAGCAGTAGCATGTCCAGATTTTTCACAGTAGACAGGTCATTCAGGAAAGTTGCTTCACCCATCAAAGACTAACAGGTTGAGTGCGCATCAAGATTTAAATCTTTGCCTTGGTTATTCCACTCCGTAGTGATTGTGTAAACTATATACTGATCATGTAAATTACTTAATTATTTACAGCTGAAACCAGAAGTTTACATATACGTCAGAAAAAGACACAAAAACTTTTTTTCACTGTCGATCATTAGTTCAGAGTTAACTTTTTTTGTTTTAGGATCACCAAAATGTTTTCTATTTGTTAAATGTTAGAATAAAGAGAGAATTTTATAGAGAATTTTTTAAATTAAAATTAAAGTAAAAAATTTACACACACTTCCTCAGTAGCATCGCCTTGAAACTGTTTCCATCCATCCATCCATTTCCTCCCGCTTATCCGAGGTCGGGTCGCGGGGGCAGCAGTCTCAGCAGGGAAACCCAGACTTCCCTCTCCCCGGCC